ACGACAATCATTTGTGTCAAATCAAATATCACTGATGGGGATGTGTCAGTAAAACTCATCACAACTGTCATTCAAAAGTCGTCTCATGAGTTGTTCGGTTCCGTTCGGACTTCCTCATATTTCGTTTTATGATTTCTTTTTTTTTCATTAAGATTTTAAATTGTTTGACACCGGCTATGGCACAACAAAAAGTGCCGAAATTTAAGACTTTAAAAACTGATGACAGTTAAATATAATTAACCATTAATGTTTAAGAAATGTATACACCTACACATTAACATAACAATGGCGAGGATGATGACGGTTGTGACGATGGTGGTGGTGGCGGTCATTTCCTTATACAAAATTTGACAGCAAAGTGAAAATTGTCTAGCACGTGTCTATATCGGAAAACATGATTTATTTGAAGAACATATTAAAGAGGGGTATGGAGGGAAAAGTTTATTCACTGAAAACTATTTTTGTAGGGAAAATGAATAGAAATGGGTATAAGTAAAGAAACAACTAATTGACGAAGTTTAGATGCTGAAATTGATTCGGACATGGAAACATATTTTTAGAACTATTGTAATTTATGTTAAGGAAAAGGGTTTGAAATATTAAATTGAAATGCCTTTTTTTACACAAAGGGATGTCTGAAAGACCCCAATAAAGTAAATATAAATCTCAAATAGATCTAGGAGACGTCTCTCGATATTTAAAATGTAAGTTCAAAAGATATCACAAAATTAATTTAATTGGTGGCCAAATATTTGAACTTTTATGACCTCTTATTCAAAATATTAAATTTGTATTTAATAGCCCCACCTCTCTAACCAAGTGGGTCCGTAGTAAACTCTTCTCACTAAAATCCTATTCTATACTATTTCTTCACTTTGAATACTCCTTTGGGAATTTTATTTTTATCCACACACACATACACAATTAACAATAGTGAAAAATAAAGAAAAAACTCAAATATAATCTGCCTTTGAATTATTTTGAAATTAAATTTAATGCCAACAATATATCTCTCTCGGATTCTTAGAGTAGGCGATTATTATAATACATATGTATGCATGTACAACCCTAATGCCCACACTGAATTTTTTTAATGATGGATATTTTGGGATGGATATACACAACTCATCATGATATGAGCAACCTCGGTAGCCCATCCACAGTGCTACCACACGACACCAGTCAGCAGTGATTAGCCAGTGATGCATGAAACTAAAGTGTAAGATACAAAAAAAAAACTTCTATGGGTAGAGGATGGCTACAAAATACAAGAGGCAAACCTATGTAGGCACATACATATGTTCAAACAACTATTAAGTGACAATATAATATTTTTCTCCAAAGAAGACACTTTGGTTGTGATTTTTCCTGGGGAGTTTGGATTGCTGAAAGTGCGTGTGTGGTACCAGAAAATTTTGAAAATTACACGTGTTGTAATTTACTGAATCTCCATAAACACAATCACACGCACATACACACTCACTCACTCATTTGGTTACAAATGAATACATTAAAACACTTAAATTTTTGTAAAGTGTCAACCAAAAAGAGGAAACCGACCTACCGACCGCCAGCCACCCGAGTTTGGGGGGTAAAAAGTGTTGTTGACATTAAGTGCCCAGCTCAGTGGCAGTCATCATCCCCTTCCACTTATCCACTAAAAGTAACATTAGAAGTACACAGAACCGTACACTCAAACACACAGACAGACACATACACAGACACACACATACAGTTTATTTGACATTTTATGTGTAGGAGTAGTAAAAACATGTAAATTAGTTGGCAACATCAAAGAGCGAGGAAATTGAGGAAAACAAGAGGTATATTTTTGTAATTATTTAAAGAAGAATAAAATAATAAAAATTTAAAAATATTTTGTTGAGACTTTAGAATATTCTAAGAAAAATCATAAAAAAATATATTTGAAGAATATTTTGTGAAGAACCACCAGAGGAAATAATGTTTACTTTTCAGAAGAACTACTAGTCCTGTGGTTGTGGGTATTTGAAGAATATGTGGTTTTTGAAAAAATTTCCAGACAAGTCAGACTTTTTATGAATTTTTACCATTTGGCCATTTTTTTAAGAAGGGCGTAGGAATATATTTTGGGGCACTCCCAGGGATGGAGCTTGGATATTTAAAGAAAAAGCAGAGTGAAAGTTTATTTTTAGAACTACCAGAGCTGAGAGTTTGGATTTTTAAAGAATAATTTTTGAAGAGCTATCATAACTTTAATTTTTGACGAATATGTGAACGTTAAAAAAACGTTCACAATACTAGGGCAGGATATCATCATAAGGAAAATTCAGACGTTTTTTATATATTTGGATCAAATTTTCTAGAAGAATTACGAGAGGTATGGATATTGGAAGAACAATTTTTGAAGTACTTCTACAGTTGTAGGCTTTAGTTTTTGAAGAATATTTGGACGTGGATATTTGAAGAACTTCCAGGCTTCTGAGGGTTGGAGACCATTTTTAACTATTTGAGGAACTTTTTTTCTAGGCGAACATTTTTAGAACTATTTTTGTTAGTCTTAGTGGATTTTTTTAAAAATTGTTTGAAACGTCTCCTCGAAAATTCGATTTTTTTAAAATATTTTTTGTGGGTCTGAGACGTATGTTTTTTTAATATTTCCTGAGGGACTGTTTTTTAAATATTTCTGAGGGACTATTAGAGTTTTTTTTAGGGTCTCTTCGAGGCGTGTATTTTTTAAAAATTATATTTGAGAGTCTTTTCGAGGCTTTGGATTTTTTAAACTTTTTTCAGGGTCTCCTCTTGTGGCGTGGATTTTTAAAAATATTTCTTTGTGGAATTTTCCTATATACCCTACACTATGTTGTCAGGGTATTATAGCTTTGTGCAGCCCCAAGAGTTTGTAACGCCGCGAAATATTGATACTAGACCCACATTTAAGTATACCGATCGTCATATCCCGACTAGATCTGACATGTGTGTCCGTCCGTCCGCCGTCTGTCCATTATAATTTGTAAACACGATAAAGGCCACACTTATGGACCAATTTTCACGAAATTTTGAATGTAGGATGGGTTCTGGCTAATGTTTTTGGAAAAGATCGTTAATATTTAGGGGATGAAATGGACCAAAAACTTTATTTTTGTTAATTTTTCTGGAAGATTTATGGCCCAAATACCGCGAATTTTTGCATGGAGAAGTGGATCGGGCCAAAGAATAAGTATGCCTGTTTTGATATAGATCGGTCAATATTTAGGGGGTCAAATGGACCCTGACTTTTGTGTGAAAAATTAAAAAATATGTATTTTATAGCGTATAGATTTACCCCTGAAGGGTATATACCCGAGAAGTTGATAGTATATCCAAGGGGAGTGGTTGACATTTAAAATGATACCAATTATATGTGGGAGTTACACTGTAATATTTACAGGTGCTTACGTATTCAGATATTATTTATTAAGCCATTAACACACTAGAGGGCGGAATATAGCGCTGATCGCTTTGAAATGTTCCGTGGTGTTCCAGTTCTGATCAAGGACAACGCCTATAATTTTTGGTGATGATCATATAATAATTTTGGCATGAAGTGGACCGAAAACTTAATTTTTTGCGTTTTTTCCAAATTGAAAGCCGAAAATCACAACACAACCCACGGTAAAGAGAAGCTCAGAACGTAGAACCTCGGAAAGTTAGGTTTTTGTGGAAGTTGTGTAGGGTATCATATGATCGGCTCCGTCCGACTATACTGCTCCGCTCACTTGTTTTTAATATTTTTGAGGGTCTCCTCGAGGCATGGATTTTTTTGAAACATTTTTAAGGGTTTTTTCGAGGCGTGGATTTTTTAAAAAATATTTTGTAGAATTTTTCAAAACGTGATTTTTTTTTTAATAGTTTTTGTGAAGACATGGGATTTTTTGAAAATATTTTGTGGGAATCTCTTAAGGCTTGGATTTTTTTATTTATTGTTTTTTCTATGGGTTTATAGTTTTTGCGGGACTCTTTGAGGCCCAGACGCCTTTTGAAGGCGTAATTTTTTTAAACATTTTTCTTTTGTAAACACTTTAATGATTTAATATTTAATATTTTTTGAAGGTCTCTTAAGGCGTGCATTAAAAAAAATATTTTTAGGGTCTCTCTTTAAGGCGTGGAAAAAAAAAATATTTTTTGAGCAATATTCCAGGTGTGCATTTTTTGATGATTTTTCTTGGCATAGATTTTTTCAAATACTTTTGAAAGCGCGGATTTTGTAAATGGTATTACAAATATTGTTGACGTTTGAATTTTTCTGGGAACTTTTCTAGATGAGGATTTAATTTTTTTTGATAAACTCTCCACGCCTGATTTTTATTCAAAAATTCTTGGAACATTAAAACTTCTTTAAATTTGTAAAAAGAATACTTAGAAATATATTTTTTTTAATTTTTCACATTAAAAATTTTCACTTAATGGGTTAAACTAAAACTCGCAATTGGCGCCAATGTTGATTAGGTCAGTGAACTGCGTCACATACTTAATTCTACCCGGGTGGTTATCAATATCAGCAATCACACCACCTTGAAATCATTCAAATAAAATAAAAATATTTTATAACTGCATCCTCGCTTCACGTGATAATATTTCATAATTTTTTTAATATGTTATAAAAAATAAATTGCAAACGCTGATAAGATATAAGAAAAAAAAACACTTAAATATAAGAGCAAGAGATAATACATATTTTATAATAAATAAGAAAAAAAAAAAAAAAACAATACTTATTAGATATTCTTCGGTGCATTCTATGTGTAATAGACTAAGCTCTCGAGATTAAAAAAAATTATGATAATTTTAAAAAATATATTCCGATAAGAAAATATTCTATAAAAAAAAAATTAAACAAATTTTCCCAAATTCCTGTAAAAAAGATTTTCCCACAAAAGCAAATCTCATCGTCATTTGCAAAATATACACACTTTTCATTTATAAAAATAAAGAAACACCATTTTTCGGGTTTCTCTTACGCGAGATTTTCGATTACTTACAATTCTTATTGTAGACACTGTCGAACGAATCCTCAATGGAATCACATAAACTTGGTGTTAGCGACACTGTCGGGGTACTGTTGGCCGTAACGTCGAATTTCTCTTTTTTACAACTGATATTTAGACCACTCAATAATAGTTGTTGTTGTTGGCGTTGATGTTGCTGCAATTGATCTTGCAATTGTTGCAAACATTGCTGCTGGAATTCATGTTGTTGTTGTTGGGAGAGATTATTTGTTGCCGATGATGCTGAGCCGGAGGCCACACTGACATTATCCAAATCATCGGTTAACATAACACCACTGTCGGTACTACCGGCGGCACCCACACCATTACTCACTAATACACTAACACCATTACTACCACCACAATTACCACCAATCGATGAATTGTTTGTTGTTGTGTTCGAATTATCCTGCAATAGGGATAGTGAAGCGGAACCCGTACTACACAAAAGGGCAGCCAATTCACTGGAATCCGATGGTAAAAATTGTTGAGAATTATTTTGTTGTTGAATTTGTTGCTGTTGTTGTTGCTGCAAAGGAGACGATGGCGACATTGACGACGATACTGTTGAGGCTGGCGATGAACATAATGAATTTGAATATTGCTGTTGTTGCGGTTGGGTAAATTGTTGTTGTTGATAATTGATATTGCTTTGATTAATCGATTGCAAGGCCTGCAAATTGTTGTCCGTGGTATCTTTCGTTTGGAGAGAAAAGTCGTCGGCGTTAAAGGCATTTCCGCTACTCCACATGAAATCGTCGGTTGTCAGCAGGGGTAAATCGTCCTGTTCATTCATGGGAATATAGGGGGCACGCATTGTCAAATCATCCATATCGTCAACATTCATCGTGTAATAGGAGAAGTCATCTTCTTGGCTCAAGGAGTTGGGACTGCATAACGAGGGTAGACTACTGCCATCGGGACTCTGTGTGTGAGAAATATAAAAAAAAATATAAATTAAGTCAAGTGCATTTAATAGATGGGGAATATTTTTTGTACACATGTATGTTAATGAGGTGCAGGAGGGGAGGAAAGGAGAATTTATGTCATAACCTAAAAAATATTGAATAGTTTTTGGAGATCTCCTTGAGGCCTAGATGCCTATTCAAAGTCTATACCCTTCACCACACTGTGGTACAGGGTATCACTTTCTGAGTCGATTTACCCATGTCCGTCTGTCCGTCCATCCGACCTGTACTTTGTTTTTGTGAACAAAGTACAGGTCGCATTTATGATCCGATTTGGATGAAATTTGGCATAGGTCACTTATTTGGCCCAAGGACGAACCCTATTGAAATTGGGGAAAATCGGTTCAAATTTAGATATAGCTCCCACATATAATTACATCTGATTTAATGTAAATGGTGCACCAAAGTCCCTATATATATATTTCGATTCGCACGAAATTTGGCACAGCGTAATGAAAGGTCTAGAATGATGTGTGTTAAGTTTCCAGAAAATCGGTTCAGATTTAGATATGCCTCCCATATATATTTACGTCCGATTTATGTGTGCAAATCAAAATCGGTTCAGATTTAGATTTAGCTCCCATATATATTTTCATCCGATTTAAGGTAATTGGTAAATCAAAGGCCCTATATATATTTCGATTTGCACGAAATTTGGCATAGCATACTGAATTGTGTCTATAATAATGTGTGCTAAGTTTCATGAAAATCGGTTCAGATTTAGATATAGCTCCCATATATATTTTCGTCCGATTCAATGTAAATGGTGAAACAAAGTCCCTTTACATCTATCGATTTGCACGAAATTTGACAAAGCGTAATGAATTAGGGCTAGAATGATGTGTGTTACGTTTCCTGAAAATCGGTTCGGATTTAGATATAGCTCCCATATATATTTACGTCCGATTTAATGTAAATGGTGCAACAAAGTCCCTATATATTATTCGATTTACACGAAATTTGGCGTAGCGTACTGAGTTAAGTCTAGAACGACGTGTGTTACATTTCCTGAAAATCGGTTCAGATTTTGATATAGCTCCCATATATATTTTCGTCCGATTTAAGGTAAATGGTGCATCAAATACCCTATATACCGTTCGATTTGCACGAAATTTGGCATAGCGTACTGGATTAGGTCTAGAATGATGGGTGTTAAGTTTCCTGAAAATCGGTTCAGATTTAGATATAGCTCACATATATATTTACGTCCGATTTAATGTAAATGGTGCTCCAAAGTGGGTTTAAAAATATTTTTGAAGGTCTAGCCATGGATTTTTTACGAAATTTGTTAATCTGTTAATATCTGTCTATGGGGTGTAGTTAGTAGGCATACACACATAAATTATTAGCCAACAAAAAATTGGAAAGGAAAACAAAAATTACCTTTGATGAAGCACTTGGTGATGATAATAAATGCTGCGAACAAAGGGTATCATTCGATTCGTCGCGATTATTATTTATAAATGGATCGATATTTGTGCTATTTGTTGTATTATTTGTAACTGGTGAATTGCTGTTGTTGTTGTGGTGGTGGTGATGATGGTTGCTGTTGTTGTTGTTGCTATTACCGTTTGTTGCACTACTCGATGTCATTTGCAGTGATGGCGATTGCCGATGATGCTGCTGCTGATTGTGTTGTTGATTATGTGTTGTCGAAGTTGTTGTTGTTGTTCCATTATGATTACTGTAGGGCGATGAGGCAGAACTATTGTTGCTGCTGTTGTTGCTGTGATGGTGGTGGCATTGATCGACTGTATTCGATGACGATGAATTGGATGAGTCCAAAGAACTGATATCATCGGATAAGAGGCCACCATAAGTGCCCATTAGACCGACAAGCATTTCACTAAATAATGGTGTCGTCTCATCGAGTGGCAGGCAAGCATCAACGGCATTCGGTGCCACCAAATGGGCTGTTAGATCATCGGGTTCTTCTTTAAGCACTGTAAGTGAAGGGGAAGAGAAAAAAATGGAAAATATATTAGAAAAAGTATTTAAAATAAAAAGAAGGAGAAATATACGAAAAATATGACCAAAGGTGTTAAAAGTAGCAAAGTGCTAACTTTTTGAACCTAGTCTAGTTTTTGTGTGTGAAATGATCACCTTGTAAGGCTATAAATCGTTAAATGGAAATTAAGATATTTTCACCATTTTTTTGCTTTAAGAAATAAATTCACAGCTGATTTGTAAATTTTTCCATCTATTTTGTTGGCCCCTCTCTTCGTCGAATCTGCTATTTAGTTCCATACATGTAGTCGAAATATTTGTTATTGTTGTTGTTGCTGTTTGTTGGTTTAATTGACTGATTTCAATTGAAACTAATTGACAATTGCATGAATTAAATGATTTATGTCAGTTTTATTGACTATATTCAAAAGAGACTAGACACACACATAGAGAAAAAGGGGGATGCGAAGGGGAAAGGAGAGTTGCACGCGTAAAGTTTACGTGTGACAAAAACAATAGCCGAAATAAATTAGTTTTGGGTAGTAATTTTCCCAAAGCTACAAAACAAAAAATAATTAAAAAAAAAATAATAATAATAACACTAAGGAAAGTCGGACTGGGCCGACTATATGATACCCTTCACAACTTTGGGTATATTGTACATATCGCTAATTTACTGCAAGACCGGCATAAATCAAAAATTGTGATTTTTGTGTTACTAATGCAGAATTGTTCCCTATATCAGACTTCATATTGTGTAAAAAATGCAGATGGTTATATCATACAAACAAAAATATAAATGGGAGCTATATCTAAAACTGAACTGATTTTTACGAAAATTAAAACACGCCATTCTACTCTTAATTCAGTACGCTGTTCTAAATCTGAACTGATTTTTACGAAAATTAAAAAAAACACCATTCTCCTCCTTATTCAGTACGCTGTTCCAAATTTCGTGCAAATTGAGAGATATATAGGGACTTTCGTGAACCATTTACCTTTATCTAAAACTGAATGGATTCAGTGCGCTGTGTCAAATTTTTTACGAAAATTAAAAAACACCATTCTCCTCCTTATTCAGTACGCTGTTCCAAATTTCGTGCAAATTGAGAGATATATAGGGACTTTCGTGAACCATTTACCTTTATCTAAAACTGAATGGATTCAGTACGCTGTGTCAAATTTGGTGCAAATCGAAATATATTTAGGGACTTTGGTGCACCATTTACCTTAAATCGGACGAAAATATATATGGGAGCTATATTTAAATCTGAACCGATTTTCAAAAAACATAGCACACATCATTCTAGGCTCTATTCAATATGCTGTGGCAAATTTCGTGCAAATTGAGAGATATATAGGAACTTTAGTGCACCATTTACCTTAAATCGGACGATAATATATATGATAGCTACATGTAAGTCTGAACCGATTTTCCCGAAACTTAACACATATCATTCTAGAGTTAATTCAGTACTCTGTGTCAAATTTCGTGCAAACCGAAAGATATATAGGGTCTTTGGTACAACATTTACATTACATCGGCCGAAAATATATATGGGAGCTATATCTAAATCTGAATCGATAGGCTCAATTCAATATGCTGTGCCAAATTTCGTGAAAATCGAGAGATATATAGGGACTTTCGTGAACCATTTACCTTAAATCGGCCGAAAATATATATGGGAGCTATATCTAAATCTGAACCGATTTTTCGAATTGGAATCATAAATGCGACCTGTACTTTGTTTACAATTTAACATGGAGAGACAGACGGACGGACGGACTTAGAAAGTGATTCTATGCATATTATCGAAAAAACAGAGGCGGAGCAAAAAAAATTGAATAAACAAATTTTGATTTTATTGTAAATATTTTTTAAGCAACTATCCCAGGCGTGAATTTTTTAGAAATATTTTTTGGGAGTCTTTTCGAGGATTTTGTAATATTTTTCGGAGAACTTTTAGAGGCGAGGGGTTTTTTAGGACATTTTGAATGGATTTTTTAAATATTCTTTACTTAAATTAACGTGAGCTTTTTTTATTTCCATCCCACTATAAAAAAAAACAAAAACCCAACAAATGATCTGGCAAATTAATCATGTTTTTTTTTTTTGTTGCCACAACACCCAAACACCATTTAAAGCGATTTGAGTGTTTTCCGTAAACAAAAATTTCGCAAATCCCCCTTTTTTCTAAAAAAAAATCCGAATAAAAAAATAAAACAAAAAACCCCACACACACACACACTTTTCCTGTGATGATGTTCCCATTACTCAGTGGACATTTACCCCAAACGTGAAAGACGAAAAAATAGATTTGGATAGAATCACCAAAAAAAAAAAAAAAAAAACAAAAAAAGTAAATTTAGTTTTTGAATGTGGTTAAAAATATACACGCGTTGCGTGAGTGTTTTTCAGCCTGTGATTTTGTTTCCCTTAAATCTTGTCGCATTTGATGTTGTTGTTATTTCTATACCTGAAATTGAAAAATATCACCCATCATCCATCCATTGAATTAAAACAACTTGCATAGCTGGCTGTTGCTGCTGTTGCCGATGATGATGATGAGGTTGCTACTTTGTGTGCTGCGGATAAACAAGATACACGCGCCAATTGTTTAAATAAATGACATACACGCATACAAACCCCAAAATGGACAGACGAATATATCTATAGGTTTGTATGAATGTTCTCCTCTCGGAACAAAACAAAAAGTTAATGATCACAAAAAGTCAAAAGAATTATAATAAAGGAAGCTATAGTCAGCCTGATGATGGGTGGGAGGGAGAGCCGAGCCCCACCATCACACAAATTGTATTCATTCTTTAACTTTTTTTGTCACAACTATTTAACAAATTAATTGACGATTTGAGAGCATCATCAGCGGAAGCTAGTGAAAAAAATTCCGAGTGTCTAGAATTTTTTTTTTAATATTTTTGTTTTGAATTTTTTGGTTTGTCATATGGCAACAGTATTAATGCCAAATACAAAGTTGCGTGGACATAGTTCAGATGTTGCTGGTGTATCTAGATCAGTGGTGAATTGTGTTTTTTTTTTTTTTTTTTTTTTTAGAAAATTTTATTATGAACGAAAAAATTTTCCAACATATAAAAAAATCATTTTGGTGTATTATTTTATTGAGGCACGGGACATGTGACTGAGGAAAATAACAAAATAAAAATATATTAATAATAACAATAGTGAATCTAGAACAAAGTCGTACGATGATGAATATTTTTTTATTTTAATTTTAGTGCAGTTATCAAAAAAAAAAAAAGACTAAGTTATATTGTGGAAAAATCCAATAAGTGGAGATCAAATTATTTAATTTTTTTAAATGAAATTAAGGAAATAGCTGCAACAACAACAATGTACAGACTATTTTGCTATGCTCAATCCTATCAAAATTTTTTTAAGGACTCGAAAATTCAATGAATATTTTACAAATGACTGGATTTAAAAAAAACCCTTTCAAGGAATGTCAGACATTTTTTATGAATATTTTTTTAAGTTATTCTATACAATACAGCATATATTTGAAAAATATTTATGATGTTGTGGACATTTCAAAATTATTCAAGTCGTGAATTAAAAAAAAAAAAAAAACTTTCAGAGGAATTTTTGAAATATTTTCATTTATATCATATTTTTTCAAGGGGTTATTCTAAAGTTATTTTTAATATGTATTTCAGAGGGACTATTCTAGGAGTAAATTTGTTGTTCGAAAAAAAATTTGAACATTTTTAAATGGTGGTTTAAAAAATACCAAGGAGCTTTACAAACCGGATTTTTATATCCTTCACCACACTGTGGTACAGGGTATTATGTCATTGTGCATATGTTTGTAACAAGCAAAAGGAATCGAGATAAACCCATGGTTCCTTCTGAGCATATGCATAAAATCGACTTTCTGAGTCAATTTATGCATGTTCGTCTGTCCGACCTCCGTCCATGTATTTTTGTGAACAAAGTACAGGTCACATTTATGATCCGATTTGGATGAAATTTGGCATAGGCCACTTATTTGGCCCAAGGGCGAACCTTATTGAAATTGGGAAATCGGTTCAGATTTAGATATAGCTCCCATATATATTTTCGACCGATTTAATGTAAATTTGCACGAAATGTGGCACAGCGTAATGAATTGGGTCTAGAATAATGTGTGTTAAGTTTCGTGAAAATCGGTTCAGATTTAGATATAGCTTTCATATATATTTTCGTCTGATTTAATGTAAATGGTGCACCAAAGTCCCTGTATATCTTTCGATTTGCACGAAATTTGGAATAGTGTACCTAGTTATGTCTAGAATGATGTGTGTTAAGTTTATTGAAAATCAATCCAGTTTTAGATATAGCTCCAATATATATATTTTCGTCCGATTTAATGTAAATGGTGCACCAAAGTCCCTATATACCTTTCGATTTGCTCGAAATTTGGCACAGTGTAATGAATTAGGCCTAGAATGATGTGTTTTAAGTTTCCTGACAATAGGTTCATATCGGACGAAAACATATACGGGAACTATATCTCCCATATATATTTTCGTCCGATTTAATGTAAATGGTGCACCAAAGTCCCTTAATATCCTTAGATTTGCATGAAATGTGGCACAGCTTAATGAAATAGGTCTACAATGATGGGTGTTAGGTTTCTTGAAAATTTTTTAATATTTTTTGGATTTATTTAATATTTTTTAAGTAGCTATCCAAAGTAAGGATTTTTTTTTAAATATCGAGGGACCAGTTTTGGCGTATATTTTATTTAATATTTCTACTGACTATTCAAAACTACTTTTTATACCCTACCCAACTTTGTTGTCAGGGTATTATAGCTTTGTGCAGCCCCACTATACAGGCCACAGTTATGGACCAATCTTCACGAAATTTTGCATGTAGGATGGGTTCTGACCAATGAAGACCCTTATTGTTTTTGGTAAAGATCGGTTAATATTTAGGAGATGTTATCGACCAAATACTTAATTTTTGTCGGTTTTT